TTCGCCGCGTGAACAGTGTTGCCGCCTCAATATATTTTTGTACCATTCACTTACTGCCACGTGACAGCAGCAAGCAGCAAACTTGAATTTCCTCAATTGCAGCCGCCTTTTTCCATATATAAAAATATATTATTTTATTCACTTTAATCCATTAAGCTGCCTGCTTGATTTTCTTCTTCAACTTTCCATCTTTAATTCGTTTTAGCTCCAAACTTCATTTTTTTCACCAATTTAATCCTACACATAAAATACGCAATTTAGTACAATCCATAAAATTCATGCTCACAAAGTACAAATATAAATAATAAATGTGAGGCAAATGATGATTAAAATATATGTTTTTGGCCTCACATTAGGAACCTAGTTTCATGGAGAAGTAAGAAGCAAAGTGTTGTATCTCAATCTAGTGCAGAATCTGAGTACAGAGCTATGTCACAGTTTACGTGTGAGATTATGTAGATATATCATCTTCTAACTGAAATTGGGTTGGATCATCATACACCATCAAAACTTTGGTGTAATAATCAGGCTGCCTTGCATATTGCCTCAAATTCGATGTATCATGAAAGAACTAAACATTTTGAGGTTGATTGTCATTTTATTCGTGAGAATACTTAGGAAAACTTGATTTCCACTGGCTAAGTGAAGACAAAAGAGTAGCTGATTTACTCACAAAGGCATTGAATGGAACTCGAGTTGATTATCTTTGTAACAAGCTGGGCATGATCATTATATATGCTCCAGCTTCAGGGGGAGTGTTATAGAATATATATAGACTTAAATCTAGTAATATACATAGGTATATTTAGGTAGCAGATTTATAGGAATCACTGTTGATTAATAGGAATCAATCTTAATTTCTTTCCTTAGTTAGCACCTAATGTATTGTATATGTTCCCTGCTAACCTGCTGCAATAAAATAACACTTTCCATTAGATTACAATCATCAAGCTCGTGTTCAAGCCAGTGGGTTAAAACCATCAGACATAGCCAAAATTCACTTCCATGATATCCCAACACCTGATTTTGCCTCCCCTGCACCTGATCCTAATGCATTCACCAAATTCCCATCACAACTCTTACCATCTTATAATGCTTGCACCCTTCTTCGCGACCCTATATCTTTGTTACTTCGTGACATCTCCTCTAAATCAAGACGAGTTGTCGTTGTTCATGATGTTTTAATGTCATATAATGTTCAGGATGTTACTTCTTTGCATAATGCTGAGTCTTATATATTTAACTGTGTTTCTGTTTTCTTTATGTATTCTAGTTTTATATGTGTACCTAATGGAATGCCTATTCCACTTGATGAAGATTTACTTAAAAAGTTACCTATACTTGAACCTGATGCACCAGAAGAGATCAACAAGTTAGTAGATTTTCAACTTCAGTATAGAGATATTAGAGCTATTGATTTATACAATTCAAACAAAATACTTGAAGGTATTGTTATGATTTGTCCTTATTTTCTATCATATTTGGTTAATCCTTTCTTGGCGTAAAAGGTTAGGGTAGAAGGTTAGTCGGTATCAGTGCACTGTCTTGATGTTCGTTCACATTAGTAGTCGTAGTATTACTCCTGTAGTTTCTTGTACTTTGATTTCTGTTACTATCTATTGTTTCTAGTAGCTGATTATTGTATTGTTTTATTGTAGTTTCTGTTCTGCTACTATCTGCTATTTTTGTTATTATTTGTTGTTTCTTGTACTTCCGCTACTTCTTTCCCGAGACTACTTTGGACTGTGTTTTCTTGAGCCAAGGGAGTCTCTTTGAGGTAGGGGTAAGGTCTACATAATCTCTACCCTCTCCAAACCCCATTTGTGGGACTACACTGGGTATGTTGTTGTTGCCTTTCTTGTAGTAATGTTTTAAACTTCTATAAATTGAAGATCCTTTCTTTCCTACAAGAATACCATAACATCCACAATGTAGTCGTTAAAAAGTTTTGCAATTATTAGCTTCCGCATGATGTCTTGATTATTTCAATTCCAACAGGTATAATGGAAAAATTTGCAAGTACACAAAACAAAAAGCAATGGGAAATTAGACCGATTCTGCCTGCTAAAGTAGATCATGTATCATATAAGAGAAACAAATGTTCAGATTGGCTTTATAACTAACCTCCAAGATTAGTTCTTTATGTATTTTTTGGATCATCAACTACATTTTCTGATAAAGAAGTGATGGATCTCGTGATGGGACTAGAGCGTAGCAAACAGAAGTTCGTATGGGTGTTTAGAGATGGTGATAGAGGTAATATTTTTAGTGAGGAAACTAGAAGATTTGAGTTGCCAGACGGGTTTGAAGAAAGAGTAGACGGTTTCAGGTTAGTGGTCAGAGAATGGGCGCCACAACTTGAAATCTTGGCTCATTCTTCCATAGAGGGGTTCATGCGTCATTGCGGATGGAATTCTTTCATAGAGTGTATTACTGCGGGGGTACCAATAGCTGCTTGGGCTATGCATTCTGAACAGACAATTAATGCTTTCATTTTGACAGAAATCTTGAAAACAGGCCTTCTCGTTAGGGAGTGGAAGAAACACGAGAAACTTGTCACTGCATCTGCCATTGAGAATGTCACGAGGAAGTTAATGGCATCAGAAGAAGGCGACGAGATTAGGAAAAGAGCAGAAGAATTGGGAGCATCAGTAAGGGAGTCCAGAGAAAGAAGATGCTTCTCAACTGGAGTTATATTCTTTCATTGCTCATATTACTAGATAGACTTGCTTTTCACAACTAAAAATTTATGTTTTGTAATGCTGTACTACAACTGAATAATCGAACAACGTATGAGGTTCTTGATTAACTCTAGTACATACCAACTGAGGAATGTAAACAAGACCATTAAGAGAGAAATACAAAGCAGTAACTCACTAATTGCCATAGAAGCCAGACAAGTGACAGATAAACTTGAAATTTCTGTTGAAAAGCAAGTCTATCTTGTGATATGCGCGATAAAAGAATCCAGCTCTATTCGAGAAGAACCCCCCTTCTCTGTGGAACGCCTAACGGCTTCTCCCAATTCTTCTGATCTTTTCCTAATTGCATCACCTTCTTCTGATGCCATCAACTTCCTAACGACTTTCTCAATAGTGGATGCACTTACTAGCTCCTCG